TTTGGTTTATTATAAATAATAACTATTTCTCATTGTTAGGAGTAATGAAAAAATTCTAAATATAACTTTTGAAAGACTTTGATAATTGAATAAAGGAGAAGAAAAGAAAAATATTTATCCAGGCCGAAAATGAATATCCGGAAATAATAGTCAATTTCTATTTAAAGTAGAGCGATAAGTGAATGTTGTGTGTTGTGCGCACCAGATATTTTACCAATAGTGTCAAATTATATCATGTCCATGCATATCAGTGAGAACTACAAATCGCACTACGAGAATAAAAACGGTAAAACTAAAAAACAACATACTTTAGCATCTCGCTCAAGTACGGTCACTTGGAATTATTAAGAAAGAAAATAATCGATTTTTTCACTAAACAATTACTAAATTAAAATGACATGATCATTTTCACATCATCAAAAAAATAACAAATTAGCAAAATGGTTATTGTAAAATTTGGAAAAGTCATTAAGAATTGTAGAATTATACCACAAAGCGGACAATCAAATCTCAATCAACACTACATCATTTACAAAGTAAGCAGAATGTTATGAACAACTTGAATCCATTCTTCCAGATTCAAAAAAATATAAGAATCATCTACATTCAGATACATTAGGATACTGAATACTATTTTTTTGAAATCCTCTGCTCGATTAATATATTATACAGCTTCTGGCGGTCAATAGAATCGTAAGCCTTTTTGAAATCGACATACTGCTGATGAAGAGCGCCGTTGTACTATAATTTTTTCTCCAATATTTGCCATAAAGAAAATATTTGACAGATAGTCGAACGGTTCCGTCTAAATCCACATTGGTAGTCTCCGATAATTTCCATTACGTATTTAGTGATTCGACTAGTTAAGATTAAAGTGAATATTTTATAACACGCCAGAAGAAGTGAAATCCCTCGATAGTTATTACATCCGTTCTCGGATTCTTTTTGTGAATCGGAATAAGAATAGGTTCTTTCCATTCTTCAGGTAATTTCTCATTCTCCCAGATCTTTTTTACCAACCAATGTATTTTAGAAACTCCAGATTCCCCGCATGCCTTAATTAGTTCGTTACGAATATTATCGGTCCCCGCTGCTTAATAAGATTTTAATTTTCCGATAGCTACTTCAACATCCTCATTATTCGGTCCTTCTATTAGCGGTTCAGCACTCTGGTACTAAGGAGAACACAGATCATAATTTCCCGTATTTAAAATATTGTCCAAGTGGCCCTTAAACTGATTTAATATCTGGCAGAATATTGTTATTTCCATCCGCAATTCGTGATGTGACGGGCCTTAAACATCTAAGTGATCTGTTTACACCTTTGTACATGGCTATTACGTTATTTTTGATTCTATTAGTTTCTATTTCTATTATTTTATTTTTATGATAACTCTTTTTTTTTATTTTTGAGCATTTTCATCATTTAATTCTTTGAGGATTTGAAGTATTTGAGATTGTCTTCGCTAGGATTATTTAGAGCTTCTAATTTAGCATATTTTCTTTTGTCACACATATTTAAACAATCTTCATCAAACCACGGTTTGTTTTTTTTATTTTCCTTTTTCCCAAGACACGATTTACCGACCGCTTTAATATTATCCCTGATCTCTAACCATAAGTTATCTATGTAATCGCGGTCTTCGTCAGAAGGTTCTAAAGCTTCAAACCTATTCTTAATATCAAGCTTGAATTGAGTTCTAATAGATGGACTTTTTAATTTTTCCAAATTAAAATTCTCGATATCGAAACGGTTTTCTTTTATATTTTTTATATTAGGTTTTCGTCTTAGTTTCGTGATCGAAATAGGTTTCTATGACTAATTCAGGATCCGACCCACATTCTGCACCGCGATAAGACTGTACATTAATTATACTGCTTTGCCAGATATTTTGTATCAAGATATGATTTATTTGATTTCGTGTTTGCGCATACGGTGATGTACAGGTATATTAATGAATATCCTTATGTTTAAACGTAGTACTTTTAATAATCAGGTTTTTCGAGGTGGCAAAATTTATCAGGCGGATCCCACTATCATAACATAAAATTTTTTCCTCCCCACTTGTGCGTTTGCGCCATCTACAATTATTTTCATGGAGTTTCGCGGTAGTTTATCATAAACCCATTCGAATTTATCGTAAAGTTCACATTTGACTTCATTGTCACTGTCTTCGGTCTGACAATGTATGTTTATTAATTAGATTTTAAACCAACATCCCTGAAATATAGCTGCCGAAATTCTATCACTAAATAATTGTACGTCCCTCAAAGCGGATAGCAATCTATTTCTAATATGAAACCCGGTACCTAAACAATGATTTCCGCTTCCTCCGTACCAAATAGTGTACTTTCCTTCCCTTATCGAGCCTTCCTCTGGCAAGCGAACTTCTTGCAAAGCCACAATACCCAAATTGTATCCATTAACCTCAATCACAACCGATTTTAACCCACCTACTGAATTCAAACTCCTTAAGTTCATCGTACCAAATCCTAAATCCCTGTTTTAAAACTTGCGCCATGAATCTCCTAAAGCACTCCTCATTCGGAGACCCAAACAGGGGACTAGTTGACCTCCAGATAATGAGCGTTACTTTAGGGAGATCCATGACCATTTGTGATGTATGGTGAACCAAAAATATGTGAGTAGGACGTTTTATTCTACGTCACATCCTCCAGCAAGTCTGGAGGGCTCCTGCCTCGAGCAAGTCTGGAGGTCCCCTCCCTCCAGAATGTCTGGAGATCCACTCCCTCCAGAAAGTCTGGAGGGCCCATCTGTGTTGGTTAGCGAGTCCATCGGACAAAGCCGGGAGGAACTTCCAAGGAATTTCCAACGACCTCCCCACACTCGCCATTCGAGACCCGTGACGCTCCCTATACGCTACAATGAGCACGCGCGAGGGTTGAAACAGGGAAAACTATGGGAAAAATTGCTGACCTGGTTGGGAGGGGGAGGGTGATGGGGATAAGTAATAAACAAAGTAAACCAAGAATATTATAATATCTAAAATTTGAAGATTAAGTCAATTTTGTAACTGTTAATCAAGACCTATCGAAGGGCGAGGTGGCTAAACAGGCTAAAAAAAAGTTGGACCTCTCGAACTTAGAGCGCATTTCAGTTCTTAATTTTTGATTTCCTTCCCAGTTGAAGCCGGTGTTTCTCAAGGTAGCGTCTTGGGCCCCATCCTTTATATCCTTTTTACCGCCGATATCCCTGTCCATCCCAATACCTTCCTGGCAACATTTGCTGATGACACCGCCATCCTATCATCCAACTCAGATCCAGAAATAGCATCCTTAAATCTTCAAAGGCACCTCTCCATGATTGAGCACGGGTGTAATAAATGGCGCATCAAAGTAAACGAATCCAAATGCAAACACATTACCTTCACACTCCGCCGCAGATCCTGTCCATCAGTCCACTTTAATTCCATCCAGCTTCCTTTTTCAGACACAGTCCGGTATCTTGGCTTTATCTTAGACCGAAGACTAACGTGGAACCCACATACTAGACATAAAAGACAAGAACTTAACCGATGATATGGCAAATTATACAGACTACTGACCAGAAAATCTCAACTTTCAATTGACAACAAATTACTGATTTACAAGACAATCCTGAAACCTATTTGGACCTATGGACTTGAACTTTGGGGTACAGAAAAATTCTTTAACATCAAACGCATCCAATCCTTTCAATCCAAAGTCCTCCGAACAATAGCCGATGTTCCGTTCTATGTAACCAACAAAACCCTACATCATGACCTTAATATCCCATTTGTCCTTGACCTTATCCCTCAAAAATTTTCAAAATTCCATCAGAACCTTATCAATCATACAAATCCCCTAGCCCAATCCCTATCTAGTTCCACTCATCCCTACAACCCTCCTTGAAGGTTGAAGTGGCAGTGGCCCAGAGATCTTTTATAGTATTTATTTTGGAGTTCTGGCAATGGCCAGATTCTCCACTCAAGACATGAGTGTATATGGCTAAAGAACTCTCACTCCAACTCCACCGGCTTTAGCACCAGTGAGGTGGTTGAGAGAGTAGCACAGGGATTTGGGTTCCCCGTCTGATTGTATATAGGTATGACTGTATTTTTATGTTTTTAATTTACTTATATTTAGGTTATTTTACTGTATATAGTTTTTAGTTATTATTTTACTTTTGTTAATTTTTTTTTTTGTATATACGTTGTGAATGTGTTCATTTATCAATATAATTATTGTCCCCGTGACAGAATATTATATGTCTAAATAAAAAAATAAATAAATAAAAAATGTTTGATTATTATGAATTTTGATGTCACTCAAGCTAACAGAATATATAAAAGCTATATAATTTGTTTATACATTCTAGCTCTGTCACTAATATAGTAAAATTAGCCAAATCAAAAGCTTTGAAAAGTAAAAGTGCTTAAGTTGGAGTGGATATAACGAGTGAGAAACGCCTTCGATTGATTCCATGTGCTTTAACAACCACATAACTTTCCCACACGTTAATGTGTCTACATGAGGTACATAGATAATTTAATGCTCTTTCAAATTGACTATAATGAATTTCTTTGAGACATAAATTAGGCGTTTTGTGGAAAAACCTACGAAAACAGATATTTCTTGTGAAATAGGCAAACATTATATATGCTTTAACTCCTCACCTGTTGGCCCTACACTAAAAGTTATGGATAAAATTTGTAGAAGATTTTATCTTCTTTAAATTTTGAAACATATCATTGAATCCTTTAAAATTTATAGCTAAAATTTTCAATTGTAATAATTTTATTCATATTTCCTCCAACTAACTTTTATGATCCTCATATTCTTGTTATGTAAAAATAATTAAGAGGAAGAGTATAATTTAATTACAAACTTATTTTTTACATTGTTGTAAATTCATTGTTGAAAGAATTCTTTGTTTAAATGTTTCGTTAAGGTATAATATATATATACATATATATATACACACATAAAGTACATAAAGCCAAAAGAAAAAACAGTAGTAAAAATTATAACAATTTTATTTTTAAACATAAGAAAATTAAATATCAATCTTATATTAAAAACAATTAAAATAATATAAGAAATACTGAAATATACAACATTATAATAATAATAAAAAATTCAATAGTAAACAGAATATGAGACAAAAAATTGAAGTTGAAAGAAAACAAATTTATCCTTCATTCTAATCACATTTCAGCTTCATTTAAAATCCTTACAACTTCTTCTGTGGGTTCTCCTTTAATTAGTTTGTCATCAATTATCTTTGGCACTATTAATGTTGATAGAACACTTGCGAAGGATTTTTTGGGAATACCCTTATCCTTTCGGGGTGCTCTTGGCTTATTAGAACTTGAGGGAACTTTTTTAATATCTGGTGGGTTTTCATGTAATTTCCTTATGTGTCGTCTAAGTGAAGCCTACAACATATGATATTATTCAAAACTATAATTCAATATACAAAAACGATTACAATAAAGTTCCTAATGAAATAATTGGTATAAAATCATTGAAGTGGCAATTAATCACTAAGGAAGTATTGAGAAATTTTGACAAAATATAAAACAAACAGAGAAATCAATAACGGAAAAACTATAAATGAATATTTTTAACTAAGTTGTTTGAAGTTGGTCCATTCATGATCAACATATTTACCAAGAAATATTTTATACATACTTTTTTTTTTTTACTATCAGTTACTTACTTACATAGGTGATACTCATTTCTGAGCAAGTTTTATTCCACTATAACTTTTACTCAAAGAGTTAAATATAATCTGTTTTTTTTTCCCCACTGCTAGTCGGCGAAGAAACATTTCTTCTTCTTAACAATGGAATATTAAAAAATAATTCCGTTATATAACTGCCTAAGCGAAAAGCACTAGTGATAACATTCAAAAAAATAAAACTGAGCGAAATTTGTTTCTGAATTCTATCTCGGGCTATTCGGACTGAATAGATAGTTATGGACTAGGAGCTACCTACCGATCATTTAATTTAACTGAAGGTTACAGTTAATAACCATTTTGAATTGTAGATAAATCTCATCTGAACACACAACTTCGGTCAATCGGTTGAAAGCCGTTGCTCTCTATAGAAAAATTTAAATTAAAGTGGCGACATTTGACGTTTTATTTAAATGTAGAATTGATGATTGAAATTTTGATATGATTTAAAGAATGTGTCCCTAAAAGAGAATTCACCAAGACAGACGATGTACTCAATTGCGTTTTGAAAACTGACGGCGTCAAAGATATCAAATTAGTCCAGTAGAATGATACTAGAATGAAGAAAAAAAAAATAGTCTTTCTGCCTCTTTGGTTTTAATGTTTTTTAGGGTGTTGCATCTGAATTTGAAGTTTTAAAACAAAATTTTAGATTGCGTTCCGAGATATATGCAAAACAGCATTAAATTTTCTACATACCTCCTGTAGATATGTTAGTATGTGAGAAGGTATTTCAGTTCTTGATTTTTACTTTCATTGACCGATATATGAAATATATATATCTTTTATCGGCCTTGATGAAGGCCTGAACTTCGGGCCGAAACGTTGCCAATGTAAAAATAAATATTATTATTTATTTTTGCTATTTTTATTTGGACTGGTCATCCCAACCATCCTTCTCTTCAATCATTTTCTACAGTTAACTATCAACCTACAATTATGAAATATATAGTAAGAGAAAGTATTGCGATCATGAAAATTTTCAAAGGAGATACAATTTTTGAGATCTCCTGAGTCCAAATAACTAAGTCTCACAAAACGGTCTCCGTGTGTATGTGAACAGTCTAGCTCAAAAAAAGGAAATTCTTATGAAACTGAAAATGCGTATTTAAGGTTTGAATATGCTTCAGTTGTTACAACAACTTTTTCATCAAAATCAGCAAACCGGAAGTGGCACTTTATATCATCGACCTAACACATGTTTACGATTTTCTCAAAAATGGCTCTAACGATTTTGATTAAAGTCGGTGTAAAAAGTGTTTCACTGTTTTTGGCATATATCTCAGAACGCAAAAGAAAATTTTGTTTTAAAACTTCAAATTCAGATTCAACACACTAGAAAACATATTAACCAGAAGAGAAACCAGAAGAAAGACTATTTATTTTTTTTTGTACATGCTAGTATTATTCTACTGAACTAATTTGACGCCGTCAGTTTTCAAAATGCAACCATTAAATAAAACATCAAATGTGGCCACTTTAATTTAAATTTTCTTATAGAGAGCAACGGCTTTCAACCGATTGATTGAAGTTGTGTGTTCAGATTAGGTTTATGTAAAAATTTAAATGTAATGTAAAAATTTAAAATGGTTACTAACTGTAAGTCCTTCAATTAACAGAAATGATTGTTAGCTCCTAGTCCATAACTACCTATCCAGTCCGAAATGGAATTCAGCTTTTAGATAGCGACCTTTTTTTATCAAAAAATAAAATATCTCCATCAATTTTCAGCAAATATTTAAAGCACAGTTTTTCAAACATTCCTCTTGCTTAGGACAACTAAAGACATTAGAAACATAAGTTTCAAATTTATGAGGGGTGACAGAATTAGAATCAAGAAAATTTCGTTTTTTTGACCTCAAAAATATCAATTTACAGCTTTTTTTATGCTTTTTTTTTATCAGGTGAGCTGCAATGGAATCCAAAACGAGCATCCTTGCTGATTATGATAGTACTTTTAGAATTCAAGAATGATGATTTTTGACGCAGATATGAGAGCACATAACATAAGACAGAAAGTTCTAGATGGCCATTTTTGACCCTCCATTTTGGATAGAGGTAGAAATGGGATTTGAGGGGACTTTTCATTGTTTGTTCTGCATTTGAAGAGGAATTAATCCACACATTTACAGCCAATCATGAATTTTCTAGATATGAAATGCTAAATTTACTGAACTATTTCCAGCTGAATGAAGGAAATCCGATTTATTCAGATTAAAAATGTTTTCAGAACTTCCTTAAGTAGGAGTAATATGGCCAATGTAGACTGTTATGTTAGGACTTAATTGCGTTGTGAACTTGAGTAACTACCAATCTAGCACATTCAGAAAAAGTTTGTTGAATCGAAAAATAAGCTCATTTCTTCCTAATTCAAGAGCCTAGGCTAAATCATAGAAGTTAGTCCTAGCCCTGGAAATTCTGAAAATATTGAATTCAAATATTTTGAAAGTATTTTTTGTACTTCAAATAAATAAAAATTGGAGTTATTACATTCAAATAGTAGGAAGTTGAAAATAATAAAAATTATAGTAAAAATCCAGATTTTTACAAGGTTCTTCAAACTTTAAAACACATGCGCAATTGGAAGATACAAAAATTAATTTGATTTCATGGCGAGAGTGCTAATTATAATAAAAACTTAAACATTCATCTAGTTAGCATATTTTACAACAAAGATAACATACTTTGCCCAGAAGAGTAGCCTGGCAGAGATTGCATGAAAACTTCTTCAGTTCTGACTGCTTCCTTAATGTTTTGTTCATATGTCGAATGACATGTGCCTTCAAAAACTTTTTGTTTCGGTAACCTTTCTTACAATATCCACAAACATAATCTACAATAAGAAAATGTTTAATTAAAAAACATTATAAATTTTTAATAATTAAAAATCTTAATAAATCTTTTGACAAAACTATGAATATTATCACACCATACATTATGCAAATGATAATAACTATACATATAACAACAAATATAAATTCATGTTTCTCACCATAAGGATGTAATTTCAAATGCTTTCTTAGACTCGACCAGTTTTTAAATGTTTCGATACATGTTTTTACAGGGCAAAGATGTAATGCATGTCCTCTTTGATGGCGTTTTAATAAGAATAGATGATCGAATCCTGTATTGCACTCATTACAACTGTAAATGAAATTTATAAATCATACTAATGCAGATTAATTACAATAGCAATAGTTCAAATATAAAGATAAAATAGACTCACAAATATGGATGATCTATTGAGTGTACGAAAAGGTGTTTCCTTAGTTGGTTACGTTTAAAAAAGCTTACACCACAAATTTTACAAGTTTTTTCTTCATGTGTTCTTGTAAAATGCTTCTTTTCAAACTGAGATGTTTTAAATTCTTTCGGGCAACCTGGATGGCGACATCTATTATATAAAAAAAAAGTTAATAGATACAAATCAATAAGTAGAAATCATAATATAAGCATATTTTAAATGAACTCATACTTAATCAATACGGAGATAATATTTTTTATTTTATGAGAAGTTACTTTGTGCCTTCTCAAGTGATAATTTGAGGTGTATGACTTATCACAATTTTCAAAGTCACATGGAAAGGGTCTCTGAAAATGAAGTAAATTAAAAAATAAATTTTAAATATAAGTGATTATTTCATTATAAAAATATATATTACATATAATATTATAATTTTGTTTTGCTTTTTTAATAAATTATTATTTTCATTATTCTCAGGTAAAATTAGTGTTTAATGATAAGAAACTAAAACAAAATTTTTCTTCTACTTTTTCATTCTACAATTTTTCAAGGAATTTTTAATGTTTAATGTTTAATGAAAAATTACCCTAAAAAATTTGTCTGTTTAATAGTTTTGGGAATAAAATAATTAAGTTGAAACAAGTTTTGTGTTAAAACCTTAGAAATTCCTTTTCTATTAAAAAAAAAAATTATAATGAGCAAAAATGTTATAATTCATTTAATTTTATAAATTTCCAATGTTCAATCGAACCCAAAGGAATCATCTTGGCTAATAATTAAGTGAAGGACATTAGGACATTATACTTAATGCAAAATAAAACAAAAAATAAGTAAGAAATACCTGTCATTAGGGAAAGTCTTAGCAGAGTTTTTACTTTAAATATGTGCTGATGTTTCAGTCTGAATTATAACGATTAAAATATTTAAAAAATAAATATTTATATGAGTGGTCTCATACCAAAGATTTATAAATATCAAAGATGTAATTTTTAAAAAGTTGAGAAAAAGACAATTTTTTTACACAGCTTCGATTTGGAACAATTCTAATGATTTTATTTCATGATTCAACCTAAACCTTCTTGAATAATATCATCATAAACAGTTTGAGTTGAGCCTATAAAACAAAAATTGACTTTTTCTCCACTTTTTGGGAATTTCTGGAGCCTCGAACGTCTAACCTGACTGACTGGTACCATAAATTTGTTCCAACAGGATCCTGTAAGGTATTTTGTTCAGGTACATTCTTGCAACATGACCAGCCCAGCAAAGTCTTGATGCTTTTATGAACGTGTATACATTCATTTCCTTGAATTCTTTATTTAATTTAGGAATTAACCGACCTTCTCCAGGTGCTTTGCTCACATATTCCACAATACAGGGTGTCTTATAAATAGCGATAAATCTTTAAAAGGTTGATAGTGGACATTAAGATCTCCAAAAAAGTTCATATAAACAATTGACCGATTTCCAGCAGAAAAGTAGGAGATATAAGATTTGTGTCTTTTTAGCGACTCACGTTTTTTGTTGAATAGAAAGCGGTAACACAAAAAATATTTGATTTAAGTAACTAAACATTGCTCTACAGCAAAATAGATTATTGTTAAAATTATTTAAAGAGGACTACTGGGCAGACAATTACAGTTAAATTCCGTTTTTAAAAAAAGTCATAAATTATTTGTATTTTTTTTTTACCACCATTCAACGTTTCTAAATTTTTATGGAAAAATTTTGAGATTCACCTCAAGTTGTAAAATTTATTTTACATGATGTGATTTTCTATCCAGTCACCTAAAAGTACCTCTGTTTTCTGCAAAAATTACAACAATTAACTGTTGCAAAGTTTTTATTTATTGTTTTTCCATCTTATGGGATGTATTTTAATAAACTTAATTAATTGTCCAAAAACACATTTACTTTATAAATATAAACAATTTAACAATAATGCTTTTTTAAATACTTTTCACGTAAAGTGGTAATGAAACTGTGTTTTTCGCCTACATCTATGTCAGAACAATTGATATGTATTTATCAGTGACAAACTTAGTGTTTATTACTAAAATGTACGTTTTAAATAAAGAAACCCAAACACAGATTGTTTAAATTATTTTCATGAAAACATAAATATCAAGGTTAGAAATATTAACTTTGTCACTAACAAATATGCATCAATTCCTTAACAACTTAACAGAAATCTAAGATAAAAACACAGTTTCATAACCACTTTATGTGAAAAGTATTTTAAAAATCATAATTTTTTATATTTATAAATTAAATGGTTTTCTTTTTGGTGCTTGTCATTTATAAATGTTAAAGTTGTTTTCGTTTAAAAAAAAATTGCGAAAACCGTGGGATTAAGAGTTATTTTTACCTAAATAACCAGGCAAACTAAAACATTTAATCTTAGGTTTGGAGAAGAACATATGAGTGAGGCGGGATTAGCCACTGTTATGAAGGAGATCAAGGCAACCCAAGCTGTGGCTGGAATGGAGTGCTATGACAATGCTCCGTGCACAGCCAATGAAACAGATGCTTAGGAGCTGGTTACAGGCAGAAAAAGGAATATTGCCGAAGACAGACATGAAAATAGGGAACCCGAGGAAGCAGAAAAAACAGGAAGTAGTGGTAATTATTAGTAATAGTTTTCAGGTTCTAGATATTACTAACAAACAATGCCAAACATCTGATAATGATAATCCACCATCTAATGCCACTAATAACCCTCCTCCAATCTACATCACCGGTGTTGAAAACTACCCTGCTCTTGTGCAATATTTACAAACAAATTCAGGACCAGATTCTTTTTTCCTTAGAACAACTTCTAAGAGAGTAACATAAATAAATCTATTTTTGCTTATATATTATATCTATTATATTACCCTTCACATCTCACTTTTTGCCCAACCGAACTCAAAATGGCACTGGCAGAAAGTATGACACTTCTGTTAAATGGTGGAGAGATTCCTGAAGAATGGAAACAGGGTTATATCACTCCAGTTTTCAAAAAAGGCCAAAAGAAAGACGTTTCCAACTACAGAGGTATTACTGTTACCAGCTCGCTGAGTAGATTATACGGCCGGATAATTAAAAGCAGAATTGAAAATGATTTAAAGGAAGAGATCAGCGAGGAACAGGCGGGTTTTCGAGCTGGAAGATCATGCACTGATCACATTTTTAGTCTCTCACAACTTATAGAAAAGAGGATGGCCCACGACCGTGAACTCCATATGATATTTGTAGATTTACACAAGGCCTATGATTCAGTACCTCTAGCGAAATTGTGGAAAGCTTTGGAAGCCACATCTATTAAGAGATACCTCATCAGAGCAATTCAAGAGCTCTATAAAAATATAATGGGAGCTATAAAAATAGGAGATAGAGTGTCTAGAAGCTTCTTCATTAACAAAGGATTGAAACAGGGCTGCTGCCTTTCACCCCTGATTTTCAACATTTATATAGAACAAGCCCTTAAAAACTGGAAAAGATCGTGCTGTGGAATGGGTGTTCAAATCAGGAATGATGTCATCTACAATTTGCAGTATGCCGATGATCAAGTCATAATCGCATCGGATCCGGATGATGTTAGCTATATGATGAGGAAGTTGCTAGACACATATTCCAGATGGGGTCTGAAATCAGTGAAAGTAAAACAGAGTATATGGTTTTCAACACTCCAAATTTGCCCCTTGAAATTGATGACTGGACGCTAAATGTCAGCCAGCAGTTCAAGTACCTTGGATACTGGTTATCTTCAAAGGGTGGTAGTGAGGTTGATATCGAACATAAAATAAATAATGGGAAAAGAATAATAAGTTCGATAAATTCAACCCTATGGAGTAAAGAAATAAGATTAGAAACTAAAAAGAAGATATACCATTCCTTTGTAGAAAGCGTAGCCACTTACGGATCAGAAGTCTGGACACTGACAAAAAAGATGGAAAATAAGTTGCTTTCCATGGAAATGGATTTCTGGAGAAGAAGCTGTGGCATATCCAGAACCGAGCGGATCCCAAACGCAGCTATTAGAGACAAGGTTGGATGTCAAAAGAACATCCTTCACATGATCGGGACCAAACGGTTAAAGTGGTATGGCCACTTAATGTGGATGGATGAGAACCGCTGGCCAAAGAAAATTGATAACTATATGCCACCTGAAAGAAGGAAGCGTGGAAGGCCAAAGAAGAAATGGATAGAGGACGTGGAGGAAAGCATGGCAGCCAGAGGGCTTCGTGAAGGAGATTGGATGGACAGGGAGCAGTGGCTTTTGGGTGTTGGGGATATGACTCCTTAAGTTGTATAAAACCAAAATAAAAAAAATAAAAAAATAAAAATCTCACTTTTTAACTCATTTCTCATTATTTTGAATTTCATATCTAATTTACAAATGTGTTGGTATCAGAAGCTAATACAATTTTTGATATGCTTTTAAGTATAATGCTCAATTATTTCATATTCTCTTCTATATTTTCCACTACATATATCAATATCCATTCTTTGTACTTTCAATACTTTTCTAGTTATATTATGTTTTGCTTAATCCTGAAGAAGACTAAACACCTGCTCACACTAAAAATAAGTTTACAATTACATTGTTTTCTTTCTTGATCGTATCCCCAAACTAACTTCTTGATTATACTCAGCTTTGCTTACTTCTATCTAGAAACATATTTTTCTCAAAACACTGCATTCCTCACAACAAAATACAAATCACTACATAATTTTAAATCTAAATTAGGTCAACAGTTTAGGATAATAGGAGGAAATTAGAAATATTCTATTTTAAATAAGTTTTTGGACTGAGAGCTGTGAAGTGGCCTAAAATATGTTAAGAAGGAGATCCTGGAGACCAACATACGGATCAAATAAATGCAAGAGCCTGGTTTGCAACGATGCAGTTTTGATACCCATTTGAGGCAATTTAAGTGTATTTTGATGTTATCTCATAAAATGGATCGTGCCAATCTCACTGTTCTAATCAAGTAAATAATGTTTTATAATCTTTAACATTAAAAATAAGGTTATCTCTAAATGATGACATTCAAAATTTTTCTTGAGAATAAACGAATATAAAGTAATCATAATGCTCTGAAAAAAAATATTTACTTTGCCCAAATGTACAGCTTTGTGTGCCTGAAGCCTCCAAGGGCGAGAAAATTGTGCTTTACATCCAGCAAAGTCGCAATGATGAGGCTTTTTGACTTGTTTTTCAGGAGACCTCGGACTGTCTATAACAAAAAATATCAAATCTTATAGTCAATAAACAACACATTATTAATATCACGTTTAACTTTCTTTAGGATTACCAGCGACCACTGGATATATATTTTCTATGACATCTGAAGATTCTGAGCCAGATGTAAGTGTCATTTCTTGAGAATTATTAAATTTTACCTGTAAAAATTTAAATAAACTTATAATACCACCTACAAGAAAATAGAATTCATAATTGTACATAGAATTATTATTCATGTAAATTAATTTATTCAAATTGCTAAGGGTTTCAAATTAAAAAAATCAAGTTCACATGTTATTCTGTGTAATTTGCAATTAATAAAAATAATTCTTTCCAAATCATTATCCCCTCTTTAAATCATCTTGAATTCTTCAAAATTATAAATAGATATAAAGAATTTTATTTAGTTAAACATATTACAGTTGGCTCCTTTCTCACATATTCTTACAATGATATTTAAGCTAATAGGTAATGCAGAATTTGTCATTTTTCTCCGTTGTAAATATCAGAAAAAATATAAATAACTAATAGCTAATGGGTTAAAACTATCAACTAATTGTTCCCTTCTGAAGAAATACCACAACATAACTTAAGAGATGTTTGCATTATCTTTTAACTAATTTCATATTAAAGTACAAAATTTAACCTGAATAAATGATTGTTATTTAGAGTAGTAAATTAAATGTTGATTTGGTAAATAATTGGTATATTAACTAATGAACCCAGCATTATAGATCATAGTTTCATATTACAATGTTTAACCATACACTTATCATTGTTCTTAATTATGTTTAAGTAAATATCTTCTGAGAAGTTTATAAAAAAATTAAAATAATTATTTTAAGAGCTAGAAAAAAAATACCTTGGAATTCCTAGAGATTTAATTTTATCAACATTTTAATCAAATCTGCATTACAAAAATGATTTGTGTAATTTTTTAAATTATTTATAAAAAATTAAATGAACCGCAGGAAAATTTCAATAATTACAAGCTTTATTTACGTCAAAATTACGATTTTCAAAACTATAACCGCAAAACCACGTGGGATGTGTAAGGTTAAAAACATCCTAAAGAGGTACAAATTAACCTATGATTATTCTTTCCAAATTTGAAATGTATTTGAAATGAAATGGGCAATACAACTTTTTTTCATTAGGATTTTTCAAAACAGTGGCAGTTTCCAAAAGCCTTCCTCTCTGTCTTTGATGTTTTCGAGGTAAGAAAGCCTCGAACGATGGGTATACGTAAAGAGATGAGTGGCTGTTTTGAGGAGCATATTGAAATAGGAAAATCCTCCCCGCGTAAACCAGAAATGGCTATGTAAATGGAAAAATGTGTTTTCTTCCAAGACCGTAACTGGTCGTCATTGCTAACTTTCGAGCAAGCCTGCTACTTTTACAATGATCTTGTGTAATTGGCAAGATCTTGTACCCAGCAACCATAGGGTCGGCCTCCTTCTCCTTAAGTACTCACTATTGAAAGATAAAGTATGGCCAAGCTATGGATATCAAGCATAGAAAAGACCTATCTATACCTGGTGTTTCTATGTCTTTGAAAGAGTGATTGGTTTGGCACTTCAATCGATGTTAGTCGCGATCATTCTGCTGGACGATGGGGCGTTACTAAATCGTCGGGTGCATCATTCTCCTCAATTCTGTATAATACATCAGACACTACATTTTCATTCTCTGGTTCTTATATTATTTTAGTAGTGAACTGACTGGTGTAAGAAAGCCAAAGTATATGGATTGTTGCCGTTTTAAGCTTTTGGTTAACTGCGCGTGAGATCGATCGACGAACAGGTAGAAAAAAGTAATTCTAAAATTGTTAGCAATATTTTATTGTTTAGCGGGGCTTCCAGCCTAGAGGCCTATTCTCTTCGGTAAATGCCTCCTTCCCATAAAGATCCCGTCTCCTGATCGGCAGTCGCCGAAGCTCCTCGAATAGTTGATTCATATCCTTTATTACTCAGCTAATGTCAAACTATAATACACTATAAATAATTGCTCTAAAGTCATTGTACTTTTTTCTTAAAAAGCTTAGGGGTATACAACTAATTTTTAACTGTTATTTAAGGGCCATTTGTTTTTACTCTTAGTACAACAGTCTGTGTAAACATTAGTACTGGTACGCCACGTGCAGTAAAGAGAATGCTAATTAATTTAAATAGCAACAAAGTGACAAACAATAAATATGAAGATATAAGATGTTAATTTCCTTTTAAAGCGGGCATCCGTCGGTCGTTCTCGCCCGTGTTAAGTATGCATGACAATTTTTCTTGTAGTTAGGAGTAGAAGACTGATCTGAATTCTCTCACTTGAGGAACGACTACGGCGATCCTATTCCACATTTCCTGTGGAATGAGAATTATGAAAAATAGAGTTAAAAATCTACCAGTGGGTCTCTTAATTCTCTTCAGGATCTATTGGAATCTAGGAGAGACACATTCCTGGCGGCAATAGTACTATAGAGTGGAATTGCCGCAGCAACAACAAAATATTGCTAAAAATAATTCCCCAACAAATTGACAAAATATGAAAATCTGTATTCTGGAAACTATTGGGTCTACAGATGCTTTTGATCTCTAATGGTAGAACCTTTAGTCCACTTTGAACATAACATAGTTATTATCATTGTAAAAATAGAGTTTCTAGGTCAAACTTGACACAACTAAAAAAATGTATTCATCTACTGCTATATCTTCTGCATCCCTGGTTGTTGTTTGACATTTCAACATCACTTTGGGACACTAGCAGATCCAGGATTTAATTTTGGGAGGGGTTAAGCCCTCAAGCTTATAACATAGGCACAACTATTAAAATTATGCCTTCCCGAAGTCGTTCCAGTTCTCCTTTTCATCTATAATTTTTCCCTCCAGAACTCAGTTTTTCCAACTGCTTGGAAAAAATCATTAGTCAGACCTATCAACAAAATTCCCAATCCTACCTCTCCTAAAGACTACCGCCCAATCTCCATTCTTTCTAACCTTTCTAAACCTCTGGAAAGAATAGCTCAATCCCAAATCTCTAAATTCCTTGAAAACTCAAAACTACTCGATCCTCTCCAATCTGGTTTCCGACCTGGCTTCTCCACACAATCCGCCCTACTAAAAATTACCAATGACTTACATACCGCAATGGACGAAAAAATGTTAACTGTATTAATACTTCTCGACTTTTCCAAAGCTTTTGACTCCTTAGACCACTCTATACTCTATACTAAATTAAAATCCCTATCCTTCTCCAACAGCTCTATCCTCTGGTTACAGTCTTTCCTATCCGACAGAACTCAAGCAGTCAGCATTCCAAACCAACCCCTATCTTCCTTTCTTACACTGTCCTCTGGAGTGGCCCAGGGTTCGAGCATTTCCCCTCTCCTTTTCAACTCCTACATAAATGATCTTTCCAAATCCATCTACCACTGTTCACATCATTTATACGCTGATGACACCCAAATATATTTTTCCTTTCATCCTTCTGAGCTACTAGTCGCGTTCGCCAATATTCAGGCTGACCTAGATAGGATCAGTGCCTGGGCAAGTCTGAATAATTTAAATCTAAATGCGATGAAAACTCAGGCCATTATTATAGGTTCCAGTCCTATTCTTAAATCCATCACCTTCCTTCCTCCATTAGTCATCAACGATCATCCTGTCACATTCAGTTCATCCGTTAAAAACCTAGGAATCACCATAGACGAAAACCTCTCCTGGAAACCCCATATTGCCCTCATCTCCCGTAAGTCAATAGGTACCCTTAAGCTATTTCATCGCTCCCGCCACCTACTCCCACAACTCATCCGCAAGCTCCTTGTATCCTCTCTCATTTTCCCCCACTTTGACTACGGCTGTGTGGTGTACGGAGGCATCCCGATGGTACTCGAGGATAGATTGAAGCGACTCATGAATACGTGCTTAAGATTTGTCTTCGGTTCATCAAAGCGATCTCATGTGTCCCACCTTTACGACGAGTTAAAGTGGCTCTTCCCTTCTTTCCGCAGACAATATTTCCTCGGATCTTTCCTATTCCAAACAATCAACACTAGACACCCTTCTTACATCTACAGTCTCCTACAGTTTAAACCCGTGGTCCACTCCCAGAAAACAAGATCCCGTTTTTCCGACCTTTATATCCCTTCCCATAGAACTAAGACGTTTGAATATTCCTTTATTTCCCGATCCACAGCCTTCTGGAATTCCTTGCCATCTGAAATCCGTCATGCCTCTTCCTTGTCCTCATTTAAATATCATCTTTACCAATTCCTTCTCACATCCCAAAATGACGTTATACAATAAAATAAATATTGTGAAACAGATTTTGACTGAGGTGAATGATTGATAAAATTTATTGTCTTAATTTTAAAAATCAACCCATGCTTATTTTATTTTATTTTTATCTTCATTTAAATAATGTTGTTTTTTTTTATTTCGTTTTCTCTCAAAATTTTATTTTATTTTTACTTGTTTTAATTTAATTCCACTGAAGATACTGTATATATTCTTTAATATTGATTAATGTAATTTTTGGCCAGATGTAGTTTTAATTTTTTTGTTCATATCTGTTATTCATAAGGGACCTTGTCCCAGAATAAAGTTTACTTTCTATCTATCTATCTATCTATCTATCTATCTATCTATCTATCTATCTATATATATATATATATATATATATATATATATATATATATATATATATAAGATAAAGACCGGAGACTGGCGATATCAGCCTTAATACCATCTTGTAATGTAAATAAACATAGCAATTGTATATAAGGCAGATTATTGAACGAATAAAGCAGTGTTAATTCAGAAGCCGTGAGTATTGTTTCTCGTTCCTCTTTCCTTCTTTTTTTTTATTTACAAAGCCCGGAGACGCTTAACTGGTGCCGAAACCCGGGAGAACGTCAGGAGAACACGGAAGTAAAATTTTTTTTTCCTTTCTTTATTTTAATTTTTTTTTCTCTTCTCCTAGTCATAAGGAAAAGACGAGATGCCGACAGAGGGCATAATTCGACCAGGAGTGTTGAACGCACCTGAAATGCCGCAACCTCAGGAAATGCCGATAGCGCAGATTCCTCAGATCGCCCCTCAGGTTCCGCAGATTCCGCAGATACCTCAGATACCTCAAGTACCGCAGATACAAGAGATCCCTCCCTTACCTAGGGACACATTGGCAGAGGCGCACGCCAATGCATTGGAGTGGATGAAGATAAGGGCAGCGACCACGCAGGATCTACGGAGAGCAATCGCAGACCTGGAGCGATTCGGGGGCGAGATAGGTGAACTTAATCACTTCCTGAAAGGTGGAGACCGCCTCATATCAAGAATCGAAGCAAAGGTGGCGGAGGACCTCGTGAACCTGGGAGACGCAGAAGCACTGAAGGCAGCTCTCGTGTGCCGAGTGAGGAGGAACATCCTCAACCAAATCCAAGCGGACGAGGAGACACCATGGCCAGTGATTAAGGAGCGTTTGAAGAAGGCTTTCGGAGGGGGCCGATGGACGCCGGAAGAAGATATCTTCCAAATGTTTAGGGAGTGTCGGTCCCAACGCCAATCAAGAGGACAGTATGCGGGGGTACTAGTGGCGAAGTACAACCGCATAACTGAGAAAATGCGTGAAACCATGAGTGTGGGAGAGGTCGAAGCTAGGATGGAATTCCTTTCGACAATACTCAAGGTTCAGTTGGCTAAGGAGACTGGGAGAAGGGACGGACTGCCTAGAGAGCGATCGTTCCTCGAGTGTGCCCAAGAAATGATAGATCTGAGTGCAAGAGAGGAAGAGACGCGGATGGAAGTAGAAGAACCAGGGTGGACCCGGGTGAGTGACAGACGACCCCGGACAGCCCAGATCGGGTGGAGGAAGAGGGAAATGAAACACCCGAACGGAGAAAAAGCCACGACGGGCGAGAGAAGATCCGGACAGTCCAGGCCTAGGAATGGACCCCGGAGGGAAGACAGAAAATGTCACGGGTGCGGGAAACCGGGACATTTGGTAGCACAATGTCCGCGCACTAGATGTTTCGAGTGCGGGACGGAAGGGCATAT